CTTATTTTTTATTTATATATATATATATATATATATATATATATATTATATATATTATTATTTGTTGTGTGTGTGTGTGTGTATATATATGTGTGTATGTGTGTGTGTGTGTGTGTGTGTTTTATACCCCTAACAGCACGCGACATACTGCGAATCATCCCATTTTCGTACTGCTTTTATTGTGATTATCTGTAACGTACTGAGATGTACGCTAGAACATCACTAACAGTATCATTCGGTTTTTTTTCGCACGCGTATATTCTCAGGATTTACGCAACGGTACATACGCTTTTTCATCGCACGCCTATATTCTCAGGTTATATTCAAAGGTACGGAAATGATACGTACGCCTTTCTATCGCGCGCGTATAGACGTAATTTGTCACGAAATATTATCGTCATAAATATATTATCATTTAATCATTATTTTTAAGCCATTTTTAATAAATAATAAAATAATATTTTAAATAAATAATAAAATAACATTATTACTATCTTTTTTTAATTAACTAATTAACTATAATATATAAATAAAAAAAATATTTCGCATATTTAATACAATTATTAACAAATTCATAAACAAATAAAATATAGCAGGTTTAATAAGTAGCAGGTTTCAACAGGTTCCCAACATAGAAGTGAAGCAGCATCGAAGGATTATTCCAAGTTGGATGGGTGGTCGTTTTAGAAACATGGTACCAAGATAAAAGATGTTTCATCACTTTCTCTTATTTTTTTCAATTTTTTTCATTTTTTTCACTTATTTTCCGTAAGGAGTATCACGTATATTATAGATTTTCAGTGCTAGCAATCAATATCGGAATGCAACCATAATCTGAAAACTGAAAACTTCCCGTTTTCATCCTTTCCTAATACTGTCATCATTCGCTGCGAATATTCGCGGCGAAATTCCATAGAAGGTTTTACCCCGGACATAGGAACGTACTTAGAACGTACTTAATCGATCTTCTCAGAATATACTCAAAACGTACGCGTGCTGTTAGGGACATTGTGTGTGTGTGTGTGTGTGTGTGTGTGTGTGTGTGTGTGTGTGTGTGTGTGTGTAGTAATTAACTGTGTGTGTGTGTGTGTGTGTGTGTGTGTGTGTGTGTGTGTGTGTGTGTGTATAAAAATCCTCATAGTTTATTTATAAAAGATGGCTTCAAACAAATTGCGACTATTTTAATCGGCGAGTGATATTGCATCTTGTTAACATAGATAGAATTAAGTCTAATCATTAATTCTTTGTTTGATACATGAAAAGAAAAATTAAGGACAAAAAATTTGTTTTAAATTTTTCTATTAATTATGTTAGTTATCAATTAAATTGAAGTTTAATCGAAATCATCTTTGACATTATTTTATTCATGCATTTTATTTTATTATATCAGTTTATTTATAATTAGATAATATTTAATATTATTTATAATTAGATATTTATTTATAATTTCTTAATTTTATATATATTTGATGAATATTTATAACTATAATCATGAACAAATCATGATCATAAATCATGAATACAAAATATTTTGCAAATAATGAAGATAAATTATAATAATTAAAAAGAACAGATAAGTAAACATTGTATTGTTATTTAGTATTAAGTTTTTAGAATATGAAGTAGTCATATCGGAATTTATAATCGATATTTGAGATTTAAGATTTATATATTCAGATCTAATGAAAAATTAAGAGCGGAATAAGAGAGGAATTAATCATGTTAAAATATCTTACTTCAATTGCAAAGCTCTTCTGCTGAACGTAGTCAATATTTAAAAGTATTATACTTTACATAAATTACAATTTAGCAAGAAAATAGGACAAAAAAAAAACAAAATAACGCAATCAGTTTTAAATTCTGTAATTTCCAATAAAATTTTTTTTTCTGTTTAACATATATAAATATAGATAATTATGTATATATAAATATGTCCAATATATGTGCATATTAATTTTTTAATAAAATTTCTATTTGGTATAAAAAAATAATAAAAATTTAAATATATAAAAAATATGATGTAGTAAATGGGTAAATGAGAATCAGCGTTGTTTACGGTGCGCAATTGACATTCTTTACAACTTAAAATTATATAACATATGTTTCGATTCTAGTTGAGTCATCCTTAGTGTATACAAAGAAAAGATAAGATACCGTGCTCCGACGTGCTCACTAACGTTTCGCTAACTCGAATTATTATGATCGCATGGAATAACGTGCTGGTAAAGCATCCTTATGAACCCTGATCATTCAAAAGAAATGTAGTGTATAAGATCTGCTGCGGCAGTTATAATGTGTGCTATGTCGGACAAACAATGAGACAATTAAAAACGAGACTGCATGAACATCAGAATCATATAGGTAGGAACACGAACACACATTCAGTTATTACCAAACATAGATTGAATTACGATCATGAATTTGACTGGAACGGTGTGAAAGTATTAGACTGTGAACATAATTTGCAGAAACGGCTGATTTCAAAGACGCTTTTTATTAAGAGACAGAATAATTGTTTGAATTCACAGTCTGATACTAAATTCTTGCACCACGCATACGTTTCTGTCTTGAGCAAGTTGTGACTTCGGCTTTGTTTTGATGATAAGTTGTTGAATTGTAGAGTCATTGCGCTCAGTCATTGCCTGGAGTTCAAGCATGCGGACGCGCTGTTAGTGTGCTGTTCAGTGCGAACCGCGCTGCATTCCTGCGTGTGCTTTGTTCGGTTTAGTGTGAATCGTGTTCATCCGATAATTGACAACCCTTAAGATTGTCCTAGTATCCATAGACATAGTATAGATAGACCGAGCATGCTATATACCAATGGGCGACATGTGCGAGTGAGAAGAAACAGCACCTGATGTTTTTCTCTCTCTCTAATAGAAGAAGGTGGGAGAAACATTAAGTGGGGACTGTGTCTATGATAGGGATCATACATACAGTCCCCACTTAAGTTTCCCCCACCTTTTTCTATTAGAGAGACAGAAAAAAATCAGGTGCTGTTTCTTCTCACTCGCATATGTCGCCCATTGCCTGGTATGTAGCATGCTCGGTCTATCTATACTATATTTATAGTCCTATCTTTTTAAGAATGATAATAATTCGAGTTAGCGAAATTAAGTGAGTTTACGTTAGTGAGCACGTCGGATGAGCACGGGTATTC